GCTGCCCCGGCTCGGGTGGTCCCGGGCGTTCTCCTGCTGACTTGGGCACCCGCAGGCTGCGGAGAGGTCCGACCGGACCCGCAGAGCCACTCATGGCGTGCGGGGCGATTCGAGAAATCGCGTGGCGATAACTCTGTGAGGCGGACACCTCGAAGTTTAATCCCTGAGCTCCTCTTGCAGAGAGCAGTACGGGCAGGGTTTTCCCATGCCACCTTTCCGATCACCCATCATTGCCTTCTAGTGCAAAGTTTGACGGAGTGGTTTTTTTCTCACTTTTCAAGCCCAGCAGGCTCACAGAGTGGTTGCAAGTTACAAACCTTCGAAGTTTGACAAAAAAATCCTCATCTGGACTGGGCGTTTCAAGACAGAGGAAGAGATTCCTCAGAGGATCCCGTAAGTGCACTGCTCTTGTCCAAGGGGAACATGGAGCTGAAGGGAAAGTGGTGGCGTGATCCTCATCTCAAGCATTTCCACAGGGTTTGAACCAGTTTTTCAGCACTGAAAACTTGGAAACAAATGAGAGGGCAAAAGAGTTTCCTGTCCTGGTTAGAGGTTAAGATGAAAAAATGTTCCTTACTGGAGTCCCCAGAGCCTGGGGTTAAGAACTGGGTCCATCTGACTAGATAGCCTTGGTTACACTTACGTACTGGTTTGTTTATTTGCTTATTCCTAACGTGCAGTTGGAGAAGGATGTTATTGGTAAACCAGTATAGCTCCCAGTCTAAGGGAGATGACTCTCACTGAATGATTTACATCCAGTAAGTTATGATTTATTACAGAATTTGAGGAAAAATAGAGCAAGGGGTTATGAGAGAAACATACCCCACCCACCAAGGAAAACCAAGCACTGGATGTAGCCTTAGCCTCTCGTTCTTGTTGACCCACTGGACTAGATGATCTTTGAAGGTCCTTTTAGACTCAAACCACACTGATTGTGTGGCACTCTGAGTCGCTGGAAGTCAGCATCCCCCGAGAATCAGCCACTGAACACATAAAACCACCCCAATGCCATCTGCTGCCTTTTTCTTAGGATGTTAGGCAGCATCTTAGAGGTCTCTCTAAAGGGCACAACTTTTTATCATCATAGGATGTCCATGGTCCTTGTCTTGGGTGGTGTCTTCTCTTCATCAGGGACTGTAGTGACAGGACAAGGAGTAATGGGTTTAAACTTAAACAGGGGAAATTCTTTACTGTGAGGGTGATGAGGCACTGGAACAGATTGCCCAAAGAAATGGTAAATGCTCCATCTCTGGCAGTGTTCAAGGCCAGGTTGGACAGGGGCTTGGGCAACATGATCTGGTGTGAGGTATCCCTGCCCATGGCTGGGAGGTTGGAACTAGATGATCTTAAGGTGCTTTCCAGCCCTAACTATTCGATGGTTAAGCAGCATGCAGAGCTGTGTCAGGCAGCAAGTACATCCTCTGCCTTCTCCTGTTGGCTCCTGATGGTTTTACTGATGGCTGCTGAGCAGAACAGTGGTTTTCTAAATGATCCAACCTTTCTTGCACTGTTAGTCTCACCATCTTCCTCTAGAGAAAAGTTCAGACAGGTCTCGGAAGCTCTTAAAGCTGTTCAGGTCATCACGAGGTGTTTATAATGAGGTATACATTTGCCAGTCCATACATACAAATTGCTCACACAAATGTCCAGTAGCTAGCTGGGCAAAGCCTTTTTAGAGTTGTAAGATCATAACTACTGATATACTAGAAGAAGTTGTTGTGCAACATACAAGCTGTGTTGCAGCTTTAACTATTAAAAAAAAATAGAAATAATTGCAAGCTATTAGTACCTGCAAACACAACATAGCTGCTGAAGGTAATTTGCACTAATGGTCAAATCTGCTGTCCTTATTCAAGGTTGTTGTGGTTTGGTTTTGTGAGTTTTTTTTGGTTTGTTTTCAAAAAGAGCTGTTACTGACTGCAGCTGGGTTTACCCACAGCCTTCATTAAGGATTGAGTAGCAAAGGCCCTAATGAGCAATTATGGAATAACATAATCAGGTCTGTCTTCCTTAAAGCAGAGGCAGAAAGCAGGGAGAAAGTGAAAATCTGCTTCAGAAGAGTTTCAATTAATGCGTTGTGAAATATGATTAGGTTAAAAAGCCAGCCTAATAACATTTATGGCTTTGCTTTTGTTGCTACAAATGGATTAGTGGATTAATGATTTTATGTGCCAGTCTGATGTGTGGTTTGCTTTAAAGATGATTTTTACCATTGTACAAAACAAAAGCAGTTACTCAGAACTTCAGGCCTTGTCAGTCACCTGGAAGAAACGCGGGAGGTGCAACACGTGCTTGTGTTGTGTGTGGTGGCAGGGAAGGGAGTAGCATGGCATAGCAGCTTGTGAGGCTTGCCCTCTTTTGTGGCATTAAGCCTTGGAGAGCAGCACCGCAGCCCTCGGCCTAGGTACAAGTCTCTGGGCAGAACTTCCGCTGTAGAAATTCCAGCTCTGCCTCATCCCATTGCTCATCCTCTTTGGAGTAAAGCTAAAGGTGTTTTAGGGGAAGAAATCATTACAAGATTTTACTCTCAATATAAAATCAGTTCTTTATGCAAATATCCTTTTGCCTATATATAAAACCGTAACTATGTATTATGTACATAAGCAGTCACAGCAAGCTGGAGATGCATCCTTTAGGAACCTGTTATTTTTCCATTGCATTGTTAAGTCTCTGATGCTTTGAAGAAGAGATAACTTCAGTTTTGTAATGACTCAATTCAATAATTTTAATTGCAGGCCAGAGATGCTAGACAGGGCAAGAAACAAAGCTCGAGTTAAAGCTTGTTACATCATGATTGGACTCTCCATCATTGCCTGTTTTGCAGTGATTGCCTCAGCTAAGAAGGTGAGTGCAGCACTAGCTAATTACCATGTAGCATGCTTTAAAATGATGGAATTCTTTGGACAGCAGACAAGCTAAATAAACAGCAGCAGCTTATACCTACCCTCAATGATCCTGCTGCCCCTCACAAGTAAGTAGCTGCTGGCTGTTCTTGGGATGCGGTAGCTTTCCCTAGGGTGCACCATTACTCCTGCTGTGCTACTCTGAAGCGCATGTTCTACTTCTGCAGGCTGCTGCACGTCACGAGTCCTTAACAAGCTGGAACTTGGCAAAGAAGGCCAAGTGGCGGAAGGAGGCTGCACTAGCAGCAGAGGCAAAGACCAAGTAACTTCATACACAATGCCAAATGTCCTGGTGGGAGCAAAATTAACGGTTGCCGAGAGCGATTAGTGAACATCCCCAATAACCAGACAACTGTAGTATTGTACACACAGGAGCCAATAAAGGTAGTTATAAGATCACAAAAAGAAACGGAGGGTCTCTTTTATTAGAGATGCTCAATGTCCTTGTTGAATATGATTAAAAGTGTTTTGCATATGATTAAAAGCAGTAATTAATTTCAAAGGCGATGAGGTATGACAGGTATGTTTGGTTAAGTATTTACAGAACTTATTTAACTCCCCCAAAATTTGTCTGGTGACAGTGCAGAGTTTTACAGTGCACAAATCGGCCAGTTTGAATTCATTTGCCTCAATGCTGTATTCAAAAAGGCACATGCATTTTCTAGTTTAAACAGTCACACTTTTTCAACCACTAAATAAATACAATAAACATCTGTAAAATAGGTTTTATTGGTTTCTGTACGGTATTTGGAGATTTAACATTCCATAATATTGCATACTATTCATGTGTTCTGTTACAGTAATGGGCCTTTGGCCTGGATTTAAAGATGCACTATTACTATTTGAAGTTCATATAGGCAAATTTAGTTCCCACACGTTACGTGAACATGTTGTGCCATAAGTAAATGAAATTTCTCATTCCAGATTTCAGTGAACTCTTGAGGTCGCAGTTAAATTTCACGTATCAATTGGCACACCTATTACAAAAATCCTCAGTTGTATGATTTAGTAACTTTAAACCAACTGAGAATTAACTGTGGAGGAAAGACAATAGTGCATCTTTTCTGTTTTTAAAAAAACAGACCCAACAATAAATATTTTCCAGTTGAAAATGTGTTCTACAGCTAGCTCATTTGTGTGTCAACATTATTACTATTTTCTGATTGCTGCTAGCAACAGTGTTTAAAGCAAATACTAGAAAATTAAAAAGCTGTATGAACCAGTCCTCAGACAAAAGTGCAACAATGAAAAAATTAGATATGATTCAGTGTATCAAGAGTAGGGAACTAAAAAAAATACTCTTACGCTCTGCATAGTTGCATAGATTAGCTAGTTAATATTCACATTTAAGCAGAACAAATGGTACCCTTTTAATTAAAGCCAGAACCACAACCCCCTGTATTTTTAAACACTTTGTAACTGATGGGGCACTTCAGAGTCCATTATCAAATGCCAGACTTAAAGATTTTCCTCTCACAGTTATTTTTAGTTTTTTTTCTCTCTATGCTGGTTTCAACATCATATTCACGCCCCTGCCTGCAAATGAGTATACCAGAGCTGACCTTCAGTCATTATCTCTGTTTTTTTGTTTAGGTGCTTTTTAACAAAGTGGGATGTAAACCCAGTGATAATATAGGAGAGGCCATCCTGTACGTTTATCCTTTAAAGAACTTTCATTAACAATTTTAGGGTAAATCATATGTTGAGTTTAAATAATTATTTCTATTAGCCAAAGTCATCATTTTTAGTTCCCTTTTAAACCATCACACTTAAATGTATCAGAGGCATGAAATATAGTTTATCTAAATGCGTAAAGTGCAGTCACTAACTGTTCACACATATAGAATAATATATCCACACAACTGAAGACATTCTTTCAAAACAAATGCAATACTTTAAATGTCCCCTCTTTTCTTCATTTTCAAGTCTTTACATAAAGATTCTTACAGTTCAGATTTGGTTTACATTAGAGAGGCTTATAAATGAAGTTTTTACAGGGTTCTCCAAATAAAAAGCAGGCACAGCTGGTTATGTTATCAAAACAAGGTTGTTAGAAACAACAAAATACCCTGTTACCTGAATATTTTTCTTACACTAGAAGGACATTGAAATTCAGCATTTACTAGTCATCCTGGTAAATTTCCATTATTGTTACCCTGTACTTTGAACAGATGGGGGGGGCACACAGGAAAGAAGGAAGGTCAGTATATGAAAACCTAAAACTATGAGAGTAAAAAGGGCATAAATACAATCATCTAGCATTATATGAAAATTTGGCAGCTGTACTCAAGATTATTACACTATTCAAAACTGTCGTATGCTGTACAAATCTAGGTTTAAAGTGTCATTTGCTAAAATATCTCATTATTCAGAGTTCATAAAGTAACAGCACTCCTATATACACTTCTTACACTTTCATCTTTCACTAAAAAGACTTTGAAAAGAGGTTTCTTCCCTCCCAGTTACATCTTAGTCAAAACTGACCATTAATCTTAGAAAATCCACTTCAAGTCCCACATTCAATTACAATATAGTATATATTGCTGTAACATCAAAGTGAAACATCTTAGAATCTTAACTTGCATGATAAAAATATTATAAAATGGTACTGCAAACGATACCATCTTTAACCTGTATTTTTCAGTGCATTGAAACATTGTTTAGTGATAAGCACAGTGCCATGGGGTAAGTAATTTAAGTAGAAACTGCAGCTTTTCATGAAGCATGAAATGCTCTCTTATGTCAAGGATTTCACTTATCCCAGGAGTTTGATGTTAATACATTAATACAGGTAATAAAAATAATCATACTTCAGAGTTAACCCAAAGTACTGATTTCTCCAAATGAGATATACTACTAATACACCAGAAACACTACTTATATGCAAGTCAAAGCAGAGCATACGTTTTTCTGTATTCAAAATTGTTAAGGTAAATACCAGAATTCTATTTTAGTGTTTAACAGCAAATACTGTATATTGTAGAGCCTAAATACTTAGATGACAATAACTTCTAGTTAGTTTTGGTGTCCACATACTTAATGCTATTTACAGTACAACAAACTTTTCCTTCAACTGGAAAAGAGTAATTCACTATTCATTCTTCACTGCAGTATTTCTATTGTCTTAACCAAAAGAAAACCGAATTAGTCAAAGAACAATTCAAGTGGCAGTAGCATATTTGGTTAAAAAAATAACATCTACTGTCTAAACTTTCAAGAACCTACTGTACTAGAAAGGCAAACATTGCAATGTTTCTCAAACTAGGGGTGCTACCACACTTTGACAGAAGACAGCTGTAAGCCATCTGCTTGGTGATTTGTGCAAATCAGCATCTGTCACTCGTAATTGCGGCATTCTTGTGGTAACTACAGCAACTGCTTCCACTGCAAAGTACTGTACTTGTGGCTGACTTTTAATGCCATTTAGCAGCTTTAATTACAGAGCTAACATCAAATGACCAGCAAGCCCTCTGCTGATTCCAATTGGAAAACTTCTGAAATAGTTCTCATTCCACATAATTCGGAAAAAGCTTTTTCATATACTCAATATTATATTAGGTAATTAGTATTATATATGTATCTCTATTATGTCTTTAAATACTTCTTATAAATAAATTCCAACAGTGTGTTGTAAAGTAAGTAATGCATAAAAATTTCACAATTTAAATAAATATTTTTCACATTCCAATTCAGCTTCTTGCAAGCTCATCTTTAATTCATGCCTTAGTTCTGAAGCAATGTTTTTGCTTCAATACAAGAGGTAGATTTGATAGAGACTGGGCAAGTCAAGCCTACTGCCAAAAATGCAACCGTCAGTAACTGTATTGCTGATATGCAGTTTGAGACTACATGAAAATTTCAGAACCACTACCTAAAAATCCTACAAAGTCTTAGCTTAACAGTTCTTGTTAAATCACATTTAATGCTTTACTTTAGACATGATTACTCACAGTTGTTTTCTGTACATAAGAGATAATGAAAAACACAAATACAAAACAAAGAACAGTTGTATCTAACACAATATATAAAAGTGCATGAGCTGCTTCTTCATCTATTTCTGCAAAACATACTCAACTTTTCCTCTAACTTTGGCCATAAAGGAAAGACTCTGAGGAAGAAACAAACCAAAACAAACACCTAACCCAAAACCCTACAAGTATTTACATTCTATGCTTGTCTTCACTTCAGTAGTTTACAGCTGAAACCCTTCCATTGGAGCCTCCTGCTGTTGAAACACAAACTGCTGCTGACTTTCATCCACCTGAGGTGCAATACTGGAGTCCTCTTCTTCAACACCAAAATAATGTTCTATGAGTTCAAAAGCCTTTTGGTAGATCTCCTGGTTTTCATGCCTCTGGAGAAATTCAATTTTATCAAGTCCTGAATTCAAAACAAAACATTTTCAAAATATAATTGCTTAAAATGAATGATGAATTCAAAGTTAAATTAATTCAATTATATTAATTTCTGAACCCATATTATTTCTAGTCTTCAATTTCTGCTGTCCAAACTAATTTTAAAGCTACGCTAGAAGAATATCAATTAAACTAAGGAGGAGGAGAAGGCAGGTCTAGTACCTGCAAAGAAATATGCCATGCCTACAAGGAAATCAAATCTGTATAGGATTAGGACAGCACAAAAACGTTCGCTATAGCAATTTCCAATATCCCTATTTCTTTTCTTTTACTTTTTCAGTCTTCCCCAACTTTAGGTCCTATCTCCTATTATGGAGTTGTCACTGGGCGCAGTCTGCTATCTTGAAATTTAAAAATTTGAAGATACTATATATAAAAATATCATTTAATTCAACAACTCTTAAAACAGTAAACAGAACAAAATACTTTCACAAATTAACTACAAAACCTAATTAATTTCATGACCTGAATTTGATTTTGCTATTACTGATATTTACTATGCTAAAAAGTGATCTGACTTTGGAAATAAGTAAAACAAACTCTGATCTCGCATCTCTGTTGTAAGTACCACACATTACTACGTATTGAAATAATAAAACTCTATTTAGGATTGGCTGATAAACTCATGCAAACCAAGGCTCCAACAGACTAGGACACTCATGTTAAATATTCCTGAAAATGTTTCTCCTGACAGACATTTCATAAACTGACCACAAACATTCACAGGTTTTCTGCATTTAACCACTTTCCCACCATATTACATTACTTGATTTATGATGCTTTAACGTCCACTTATGCTTGAAGTAATTCTTACATTAAGCTTACCTACAAATTTCAAAACAGTTCATAAT